GGCCCCCCTCTTGTCCCTCTCTCAGACAGGAGCTTTCTTTCCTTCAGTAAATATGTTCTGCTCATAACCTCCATTTAAAAAAAGAAATACAAGTTAAATGGTTTTTAAATTGATTTACTACGGTATCCTGAAAACTTTGTCAACAGTCAAGTAATGTTGAGTTTACACATCATTTCTAAATCATTCAGGTACGATTTACATAAAGGCTTTCCTTCCTTACTCTGTGGAAACCTTTTGTATTACTCCACATTGCAGCAGGAGGAATCAGCATAAAAATCCTTGATTTGTCTTTAAGAACACAGTTGTGACTTGCATCTTTTTTTATGCTACTAAAAAAACTAGTTGTATGAAGAAACTTAAAGTGGAATGAAAACTTCAAGCTGTTATAGCACAAAAGTTGCTTCAAAGTTTCTGAACTGACTTCAAAGACACACTTATTTGCATCTAAGTACAGTGGTTGCGACAAAGTGACAAAATCCTAAACAGTTTTTGCAAACAAGAAACCATTTCTGTACTTGTAGAACACGAGCAAAGTGTTGCCATCATAGCTGGCAGCTACTTCCAAATAACACTGCAGATGCATTTATATAGCAAAGGTGGTCCCTGGTCAGGTAATAAATCTAGGTGATAGGGCATAGTATAGAGCAGATTTTACAACCAGTGAAAGGAAATAATCATCTGTGGGGAAAAAAAAATAATAAGGAACCTTTTTTAAAAGAAGAAAACTAGTGACCTTAAATCATTGCCATTGGTTTTGAAAAATAAGTCTGCACTTCCACACACTAAAAGAAATCAGCCCGACCTCAGCCACTCACCTGTCATTGCTTCTCCTCTGGTCACTGGTTTAGGTCTCACTGTCCTTGCATAAGCCCAGAACCTTCCACTCAATCTGACCAACACCTGCACTTATACAGTCAGCCAAAGGCCACGTGGTACGTGGCTCCAGCCACTCTGCTTCGGGTCTTTGTTAATGCACATGAAATCAAAAAGAACCTCAGTTTTGCATTTTCTTTTGTTTTAAATGACCCTCTTTGGATAAAGCTTATTAGCAGTTGGTCACTTCTCTTTCTGAATAAATAATGTGAAGAGCAATGCTGCCCTCATTAGGAGCCAAATGGATGCTTTATTGCTTCAAAATGTTTTTCTAGGACAGCTCATCAAATGTAGCTGAGAGGTACCATTAAATCAAATATTCTCCTGGCCGCAACAATTGGTATAGCATTCCAGAAATCTCCTGAATCACTGATGTTATCTGAGTAAGTACTGCCTTGTGTTTTTTAGTATGGTTTTGACTTGAGAAAAACATTTTCACACAAACTAAGCTTAGTATTTCATTCTCTGACTTTTCTCTTTGTTGAATTCTAACTAACGCAGGATGCCGGATGGCTTTGACCACCACCTTTAATGCCTCTGAACTCAAAGTCTTTTTTTTTTTTTTTTGGTGGGACTGGGGAGTGAACGCAGGCCCTTGCGCTTGACAGAGAAGTGCTTATTTCACTGAGCCATCTCCCCGGGCCCTGGAACTGAAAGTCTTTAACTGTCAGTGTGAATTCAGTAAAAAGGGAAAACAAAGTAGGTTCTAATTTTTCTTAGAAATTTTTAGAACTATATAAATAACTCAATTTGAAAGAATTCCAGCATGTATAACTCAGATAATTAACTTACAATAATGCAGTTACATATGTACATTTATGATGTCTCATTTTTTATACAAAACAAACAGCAGTAAGAATCACAACATATCTTTAATCAGAATTAAAGATTTTCTGAGGCAAAAAGTAATTATTTTGATGTATAGGCTTTGTGATTAATTATAATTAAGACTTTGGTTACAAAATAACATTATAAGAAGTCAGAGTGAAAAATCCATCGCAAATCACACAACGAGAAGCTGTGTGGCTTTGTGGCAACAATACCAAAATACCTCGCACGCAGCGTACAGTCGGCTGGGCTGACTCACAGCAAGTCTGGCTCACCCAGAAAAGCTGCACATCTAGCAGGTTGGCCCTTCTGTTGTTGGGCCAGCCTGCAGGGGGTCTGTGATACTTACTCTCAGTCACCTCCCTTCCACCTGTACAGGACAGCATCTGACAGTCACAGGTGCTGACCAGTGCAAACACTCTGAGTTTACCCCCGAGCCACCCGTGCTCAGAGTTGCTGACTAATAGATGCCGGTTGGCCCTAACTGAACTCCATTACACTATAGCAGTAACTCAAACTTTCACTGGGAAAGTACTGGGGAAGTAGCAAATTCTGCAAATCAGCTGGTTCTTATCCTGAAAGTATATGCGAGTCAGCCTCTATATTATGACAGAGTAGGTCAGGGGGATGGAAGGCTATGACCTAGTCCTTCCCTACACTGCAGGAGAATACTGTACCTCAGAGATGTATGAACCTGTTGGGGACCAAATCTGGGAAACTTCAGGAACCAGACAGAAGACTTGTTACACTTCTCAAAGGGTCTGAGGCTTATCTAGCAGTGTCCTTAACTACTTTCTGTGTTTCAACTCCCCTCTTACTCTCTCTTCCTATTACCCCAAAATTCCCCAATAGTTTTTTCAGGCCTATCAGAACTTATTTTAGTAACTAATATTTTTCAAATGATGATCTCTCCTCAGATCTTGGAACACACTTGTCTGTTCATCCGTTCAGACATTCACTGAGCACACACTGAATCCCAGAGCCAGGGAACACCACATGGGTTTTGCCATAAGGGTCTTCAAAGGAGGTAAGAAGTACGCAAAGGACAACTGTGTCTGGGAAACTGCCATTCAAGACACGGGTGTGTGCGAAGGAGGACCATCTAAAGCACATTCAGTGCTTCACATAATGGACAAACTCTCCATTAATGGAAATACAGCTCCACTTGGAGAGCTCCTAAGGATTGGCCAAATGCACCATTATGTATGTAGAAGAATCAGGAATTCCTGAATGTGGGGAAATGTGCAAACACTATAAAACAGAAGGCAACCTGGCACTAAATGCAAAATTCTACAGAAGAGTAATATTGTAGTTAAAACTTTATACACGTGCACGGTGCAAAAAGGGGGGGGGAAGATACACCGCCAAGGGGTTACAAGATCATTTTAACAGTAATTTTTAAATTTGCTTACATTTTCTAAAGCAAATATGTAGTGCATTTGTAATAAAGGCATTATTTAATTTTTTGCTCAGAAAAGTTAAAATTTTAAATTTTGTTTTGTTCTTAAGCAGTAGAATCACCTGCAAGATTGACTGATTGACTGATCCAAAATACTGGGGATTGAATCCAGGACCTCACACATGCTAGGCATCCCAGCACCACGCTACATCCCCACCCTTCACCTGAAAGATTTTTAAAACTGTTATATGTTACAGGTCCGTGCCAAAAGAAACGACAAGACCTGATGAAGGTAGCTTCCGAGGGCTCACTGAGATTAGTCTCTCTCCAAGTGAGCCCTGAGCCTCAGAAGCATCTCACATTTATTGAGGGGTAAAGGCAGACTAAGGAATGTGCATAATTACTTAAGTGACTACAAACTACTCTCTCTACTGACTTCCACCATTTGCCTAACACTAGGTTCGCACAAATGTTAGCTGATAACATCCCAAGCAAGGGATCAAAGGACAGCGCGCCTGCAGGAGAAGCTGTTATCTGCAGCCTTGAATCCCAGCTTTCCGGGAATTTGCAAACAGACAGCAACTCTCCTCGGGTTCTGTTTATTGTTCCCTGCTCTCTTGGGACATTAGGCTTTTGTTTCAAATCTGTATTTCTACTTAAAACTCTGAATGCCTAAGCTATACTCCTACTTACTGACTCAGAACGAAGGGGACCCAGCCACCATTACTTTTATTTTAATAACAGAAAGATCGAACTATTCCCTTAGCACAGCCAAGTTTGAGATTCAGTGTTTAAAGAAACTTTATTATTTCCTACAATGTTAGGGCTCAAAAAACAAAAACCAAAACAATAACAACAAAAGAAACAAAGAAAAGAAAGGAAAGGAGCTTCCTAAAAGAAATGAGTTAGAACCCTGCCAGTCTGCAATTCCCTAATGTAAAGATGGAGTTATTTAGTGCCTACCTCTGCAGTCAGGCTCATCCACCCTGGGTCCCTAAGCACCCTGTCTTGCCTGGCTGGCTGTGCAAGCTTCCTAGGCTCTTTAAGACTCAGTGTCTCCTCTGCTAAGTGGGCTAACGAATGCAATACTTTCAATACTCAGTCAATGCTCAACAAATGTGAGCATCACCATTTTTTATTAGCAGGGACAGAAAGTACATTTACAGATTTTCTCTGCCATGTGCATATTCCTTGCTTAAGTGTGGTCCCAGATAAAATGAGCCTAAGTCAGAAGGCATTGACCAGTAGACCACCAAAAGAGGAATAGTAATATTGCAGGCAGCAGAGTTAGATAG